CGCACAGCACGGAGCCAGGATGTATTGTGACCAACTGGCTTTGTCCTTGCAGTCGTCAGCTGGGTTCCTCTCTGATACAGGTACTGAAATGAAGAGGAGAAACAAAGGAAACGGAAAACTCTCATTATTTCACATTTCATTTCTGTAATATCAGGGGTACAGGTGAGTCAGTGGATAAGAGATTCAAGTTCCACTTAACTTTGACTTTCAAGATACTTTTTAGCAGGGCTTTTCTGGAAAAGTTATAGTTGACTATTGAAATAAAAGCACCATATGAAAGGCAGAACTTTCTATTGGAGGTAAACGATATGATAGGTTGTGAAGGCAGAAAGGACAAATGTAAACTGGCAGTTGTTTGATATTCAGCAGTGGAGGTATTATTCTTGACCTTGGTGATTCTGATTTAACTTAAACGTACCTGCCTCAAGGGAAAAGAGTGTATTATATAATGTGTAGGTGACAGCAGTGTGGAAAAATGCTAAGTTTGTGAATTTAAACCTGAAGAAATATTCATCATTGCTTTAAGAGAAATGCAAAAATGTCTAATGGAAACATGACCAAATTAAAAACCTATTGCATTAGCAACACAGTTGTATAATCATAAAGCAGTAAGTAATGTCAGCAGTTCCTTTGAATGCAGAGGTTTAGCACTTTTGGGGGGCCAGGTTGAATGCCTGGTGTTGAAAGTGCAAAGATGAGTGGCACCAGGTCTGAACTGAAGTCAGAGAAGAGTACACTGCAGATGCAAGAACAAAGATTTAAAAACACGTGACTACCATTTGGAATCATGAAAGATGTGGAATGTGGTAAAATAACGGCACACGGTTCTTCAGTTTTCTAACTTGTAACCTGCAAACATGTTGCAAATCACTTCTGGAGCAAGGAATGTCCTGGTCTTATTTCTGGCCCTCTGCTGTGTACACAATGGTGTCCCAGAGAGAGATGGTGACCAAGGAGTGCAGAGATCAAGAGCAGGCTGGGTCAATGGGGAGAGGAGGGAGAAAGAGGCGGCAGGGAGATGGGCTTCCCTGTCTGTGGGGCACAGTCTAGGGATGACCAAAGCGTAACATTAGCCTGGTGAGAAGTTGGGTAAAAATCCTGCTTTGCATAGTCTCTTTTTGCATATTCTGTTGCGAAATAGCAGCTTGTCTGAAGTCTCTCATTTATCTTGGAGTGGTGTTTGTCATAGTCCTGGCTCTCAGTCCCCGTGTGACCCTATTAGCACCTCCAGAGTTGCTTCTGAGGGCCAGGTGTGTGGTTCTATGAGCTTAATGTGCCTGCAGGGTACACCATTTCCAATTCACAGTGACGTTATGGCATGACACTCCAGGACAGGTGATCCCTAAACAAGTTTCTGCAGCAGAACAGTGAAAACTCAACTGTTAGAGAAAAATAATTGTCAATGTTGTCCAAAGAGCTATGAGAACTGGTGTTTTGTGCCAGAGGTCTTATCAAGACAGCTTATAAGACACTGATAAAGCACTGAAACCAGGCAAGAGTGTTCAAAATGTTAGACAAAGCCTTTTATCAAGAGAAGGTCAAAGAGGTTCAAAGAATAAGTGAGCAGGAAATTACTAAGTGTAGCAGAAATTAACAGATTAAAGCAATAGGTAGCAGGATTCTCTAGGGACTTTTTCCTAGCAACTGAGAGTTTATTTCAAAAGTGATGGCTCTGATAATTGTCCGAAAATTTTGGGTATCTCTTGAATTAAGCTGAATGTGTTTATCTACTCAGTATTTCCCAGTCTCTGAATTTGAAATGCCTTATAGGTCCTAGTTATCACAGTCTCCATAGCCATCACTTGGTGTGGATCCTGCTTTTGAGTATGTGGCTTCTAGTACCCAGGTGTCTGCAGCACACTGTTTTATTTCCTTCATGTCACTCTCTTTTATCCCTGGATGGGTACAGGCGCAAAACTGCGGACACCCTGAAAGATACTCATTCACTTGCACATTTTTGAATATATATTTGGTGATTGCTTTTGCCAGTTATCATTTTAATTATGGGGAAGCAATGTAAAATACACGCAAATTTATCTCCCAAGTGTTCATTAGATGTTTGCACAAATAAATATATATGACAAGGTTGCCAGTTCAAAGTTCTTCCAAAGAAGTATACAGTCTTCTTTTTGTATCTAATATTATAGACACAAATTTTGAGATAGATTCCTTGATTTCTCATCATTTGTGTTTAAAGTTCATGACATTTACACATATGAAACAATTAGGAAATGGATCAATGTAAAAAACATATGAACATATCAATTGTCATGAGATATGAAAATGAAGAAATCCTAGAAAGGAGATGAAGCTGACTAGGGTGGATTACAGGCTGTTATACAGAAATACAACTTACGTAAAATATTAAAAGGATGTTTTCAAACAGAAGATTATGAACCTGAATGAAGACATATGAAATTAAATTTTAACATCTCTAGAATCTAACAGTTCCAGGTTAATTCATCACACAATTATTTTTTGTTTTTCATGAAATTAAAATCTGGTTCTTAGGCTCTATGACCAAAAACTAGAGGAGACACATTGGCATTTGGAATGGGAGAATTTGTGGTAAAGCTCTTTCCTGGAGAGTTTAAGACAATGAATAGCTAGTAATCATCTCTATAAATCTGATGCCACAAAAAGTCCCCACTTTTCACAGGGAGGGTAACCTACGCTCTAGGGAACCCCCCAAAAGCCTAAAGTAAAGGTGACCATAGGTGTCCTTGGCCGATGGGAAGGAGCTGGGATCAAAGACACAACAATGATAAATTTTCAGTCTAACTGATTTCCGGTTTTACACACAAGATTCTTCTTAGGTCACTGGAGGGATTGGGATGGGTGGGAAGGTCATTTTAATATTCTCAGTCAGTTACCAATTTAGAGTTAGGACTTCAAGTGTAGCCATCTAATTCAATGAGTAATAAGTTATTTGCTGTAGAGTGAAATCTTTACTGAACTATAATTATATTTGTCTGATTTGATTTGCTACTCATAATTATATAGTAGAAAGAAAAAAGAAGATATTGAGTTTAAAGAAGTATGGGACAAGGAGATTTGTGAGCTAAAGGGAAGGACACGCTCCCCCCACCCCGAAAAGAATCAGTGAGAGGCTAGGGCTTGCTCTGTGCCCTGAGCTAATGAGCGAGGCCGGGCAAGACTATGGCAGCGAATTTGAGCAGAGGCGCAGCTGGAAGCAGCTCTGACAGGTAAACTGAAAGTCAGCACTTCGAGAAGCCATCCGACGCCATCTCACAGAGGCTAAATGACAAACTTGCAGGAGGATTAAATTTCTTGACTGAACGGTCACCTTATACTGTGATATGTTCAGCTCTGCACCTCTGTCTGGAGTAGTTCCAGTATCGCTTTAACATGTTGCAGCATAAAAAATGACAGCTGTGTTTTCAAAACACAGCGAAACTCACTTGAAGTTATGTCACTCGGTAGTACTGACCCAGGGTCCCAAGTGCACAAGAATTCTATGTACAAATGCAAAAATAATTAGAGAACTTTGCTGACCATTGGATAATATTGTCCCACTTGGTTTCCAAGAGATGTCATCCGTTGTCTCTTCCAGGTTACAGGGAATATTGCCAGTCGTGACAGTTTTAAGTTTCAATTTTCAGATTATTAGTGCATGTCTGCAGTGCATTAGAACCCTGTTCCCTGTGGGGAGTTGGTGCCTGGACAGAACACATCCTAATTCTCTTTACACCCACCCGCTCCCTCGCCTTCCTCCCTCCTCCCTCTATCTCTTGGTTCCCTTCCCATTTGTACAACACCAACCGCCCTATTTCCTATTATTTGTCTTTTACTTCACTCTTTAATTTATTTAAACTTTGGGCTTCTTATGTACAAGAAACCATGTGATATTTAAGCTTGTGCATCTGATTTATTTCACTTAACACCGTGGTCTCAAGGTGCATCCACTTTCCTACCAATGACTCAAGTTTATCCCCTTTTGTGGCAGAGCCCTAGAGCTTTAAAAGAAAAAAAAATCCCCTTTGTAAATTTAAGTTAAATTTATTTTAACAGATACACAAAATTATACATATCATCAGAGGACCAGTCAGTGTTTACTACTTGCGTATATTGTGTGATACTGAAATCAGTCTATATACTTACCTATCTCCTCTAACCTCTGTCTTTTCTCTTTGGTGAAAATATTCAAAAATCATTTTAAAATTCTTGTTTGAGAAGCACAGACTGTGAAAGGCCCATAAGCCACACATACTTACACACCCCCCTGGGTCAGGACCTCATCTCTTCCACCCCAAAGGCGAGTCCCACCTACCTGCCCTCACCGAAGGTCACACTGCTGTCAGTTCTCAGTCTCACAGGGAACAAATAGCCTACATTTTCTGAATCCACTTTCTTGCTTTGCCTTGTAGTTCTACAAACTCCATACAAAAAATAATGACGTTTAGTTTCGCCAAATTCGTCCTTTCTGTGAGTAGAACAGCATACCACGAGTTTCTCTGTATTTTGCTGCACTACTCAACGCTCTTTATAGGAGCCACCTGTTCTGTATGGAGCCATAGTTATTATTTCCCCTGTTCTATAATATTCCATTGTATGAAACTCACAGCTCAGCTGTTGGCAAAACTTTTGTCAAATGAGCCAATATGAACAACATTGTTGTATTCATTTTACTTCTTTAAAATTTTAACATTCTGTCGAAACTATACACTGCTTTATTTTGTTTTTTGGGGGGTGGAGCATCCCGGGGATTGAACTCAGGACCTTGCACTTGCAAGACAGGCACGCTGCCACTGAGCTAATTCCCCGACCCTTCCTTTCATGGCACTCCATCTTGTGATAAAAAGGCACAGTCAACTGCAAAAAAAAAAACCAAAAAAACAAAACAACAACAACAACAACAAAACCCACTCTAGTCAGCTGTCACATTAGGCAGTTGGTATCCTGTTATTTAAATCTAATTGAAAAACACAAAGAAAGGATGACTGTGGTATCTACTAGAAATGCCCTACCTTGCTTTTCAGAAATTGACCTGGCCCCAGGAGCTAGAAGAGATGGGTGTTCAGAGGAACAGAAGGAGAACGCACAGAATACTGAGAATGTCTCAGAGATAAAGGAGGAAGGTACACCAGTTACCCCTCACGGCAACTGCGTATGCAGCAACTCAAGTGTGGGGGTGTGGAGACAGGCAGAAAATGCTGTCACTGAACAAGTATGTAGTGGCCACCATGTTTCCTAACTGCCAAGCTGGGGCAACAGCCTTGAGCACACAGTTCCCACTGCCCAGAGTCCCTGATGCCCCCAGAACACACCCAATCAAGAGGACGTCGGTCCCAGGCTCTGCACCCCTGTCCTTTCAAGCACCAGTGAATGCAGGTCAATACTCACTGGCTTGCTTTGCTCCCCTTTTCTGGGATCCCTTTCCCCACTCTGTCCTATTCAGTGGGCGCCATTTTTAATTAGGCCTCAAGGACTTTTGTTAGAATATGGCTCTGATTCACATTCAAGCAACGCATGACTGGTGTTTCTACTTCACTCTTTCTGTGTGTAGAATGAGCCCTTCTGTCTTTCAAAAGTGACCACTTTTGAAAGTTAATTTTATCCATCTTATGTTCATTTTGCTGGTTTACACTCTCAAAAAAGATCCTATTTCCAATTTAATGGTAGGGAGTTTCAGTGAGGTGAAAAGCCTAACTCCACCTGAGTGAGTAAGAAAAGAATGATTAACAGAGAATTTATACCCTCTACTTGCAATATGTCCAAAAATGAAAATGAGAAAACTCTTACTAGTGAAAAGTTTTGAAGGTCATGAACGTAATAGTTGTTTTCTGGTTTTCAGTTTGGGCCAAAGTGTAAGAATGCATTTGAGATTCAGATACATAACAAGACTGGAAAATTTAAAATAAGTTACCATCTTCTAGATCAAAGGTTCACCCCGCGAGAGGACAAATCACCAGCATCAGCAGCCACCGGGAATGGATGACTAGAGAGCCAATGCAGTCATCCGTCAGTGTCTGTGTGTTCTACACATGCTGGGAAAACACGGGACCAGTGGAAAATATCTGAAAAATATGTGTATTGAAAGAGTATAGCCTTTGCCTTGTTATTATTCCCTGAACAATTAAGTATAATAACTATTTACATCTAATTTACATTGTATTGAGTATTTCAAGTAATGGAGAGATAATCTAGCAGGAGGATATGTGGGTGGTCTATAAATGCAATGCCATGTTGTACAAGTGCCCTGTGTATACGTGGATTTTGTTGTCCACAGGGGAATTGGTGATTCTGAGGCTAAACCCTGTCACCAGTGAGGGATGACTGTACTTTCATTTATGTTAGGAAGAAAGATCCAAATCACGCGTGTTACGCAGTGGCTTAAAACTCAAACATTGTAATAGAATATGCTTTTTGTGATACATATATGACTGTGCCCAGTAGCAAGATTCTATTCTGGGAAATAGGAGTGAAAATGGAGATGCAGAAGAAAATTCAAAGATAAAACTACTTGCCTAGAAGAGAGCGAAGGTTCATGAGTTCAGCAGCTGTGTCCTGAAGCTCACAAACGTTTCTCACTCCTCTGGGCTTCCAGAGTTCTATTTTTTTTTTTTTTTTTGACAGCTCAAATCTTTACATTTTGCATTTTTCCCACCTGCTTTTTTCTTTCTTTTCCTATTGTTCCTACTCTAATTTAAGACACTGTCATTTTATACTTGGAAACCTGTCATGCAGCAGATAGTATTTTTTTAAAAGCAGCTGAAGCAAGACTTCACACGTTCTTCCTACAGAGTGACCTCCACTCCTGTACTGGGAGATGGCTTCTATTTTCTCTCTTTGAGCCCAGACCGACTTGTGTGACAGCCTCAAAAGCTACAGTACAATGAAATGCTTTCCAAGGATAGACTGAAACAGGCAGACTGCGTTGTTCTCTTGGGATAATTTTTTGAATTCATGCTCCAAAATGTTCAGGTAGCCTTGGGGGAGAGAAATAATGAGTGACAAGACCTTGGTCCATAAACCTGCCTGAGCTTCCAGCCAACAGTCTACACCACATTTCCCGCGGTGAGAGCAAACCATCCTGAAAAATCCATTCTCTGGGTCTAGGTGAGACCTTTCAGGTGACATTTTTGAAGCATACATAGGATGTTCCTGCTGGATTCTAACAAATTACAGGCTTCTGAGAAAAATAAATGACTACAGTTGTCAGCATCTTAGGGCACTAAGTTTTGGAATGTTTTGTTATGCAGCAGTAGGTCACTGCTACATCCCATCAGCAGCGACGTGAACTTCTGACCTGTAACCCTTCTTGCACACTGCTACCAAATGAAGTGTGTAATGCTGTGGTACCCGTGGACAATGATAACTCATTCAGTGCATAATTGTTTCGGCTAGATTCAACATGCGAGTAGGCAATTGTACAATTGTTATCCTTCTCCAATTTCACCATTCCTTCATTCTTCTATGAAGACAACTTGAAATAATTAAATGAAGCTAGTGACACTACCACTACCTCAAATATTTAATGGGCGCGCGCGTGTGTGTGTGTGTGTGTGTGTGTGTGTGTGTGGTGAAAATATCGCAAATTGACTCAGCACTTCTGAAACATATCATATTGTTTATTAATTATATTCCCTATGCTGTACAGCAGATCTCAAAACAAACAAGCAAGCAAGCAACCGTCCTACCTGTGTCTGAAGGGGATTTTGTACCCTCTGTCCATCTTCTGTATATTCCCAGCTTGTCCCTCCCACCTCCACAGCCTCCCTTCTGCTGTGGCTTCCTTGTGCTCCGTTGTTTTTAGACTTCACATATAAGTGAGACTATGTGGTATTAGTGCCGCTGGCTCACTTCAGTTAACATCGTCAGTGATCTGAGGGGAAGAAGCAGCCTCTTTCTCAAGGTCGCAAGGTCATCCTTGGGGCAACAGTTAATTAGGTTAATTAGATCCCTCTATTGCAGTCATACATGCTGACTTTTCTCTCATGAAGTGGAGGAGTTTTCTGGCAAGTGACTTGTTCCCCCATAACAGTTAGTGATGTTGTGGTTACTTCAGTTTTTGTTTTGTTTCATAAGTGGCATTTGGAAATCTCAGGGGAAAAAGGGCTGTATTTTGTGCAATATTTATTCCTACATCTTCCTTCTTAACATGTCTGTAATTAGCTTCCGATCAATTCAACGAATGTTTCTGAAATGTAAATTGTGACTTGTTCTATAATCAGTGACATTGCATATGCATTTATCATTTACACAATATGTGGTAGGTATTTAGATCTTACTAGAGCATTATAAAGTCATTAAAAGGCACCCCTAATCCTGAGGCCTGGACACTTTGTCTTTCTTTGGAATGGGAATATTTTTTCTTTCTGGGTTTGCATACACAGGAAGCTACCTAAGCCTTTTTGCTTGGCCAGAGCCTATAAATTGAAAACTGACACTGCTGCAGTTAAAACAGATCAGGTCAGGGATTAATTTCATGGAACCCACAGTGATGTCAGCTAAACATGATCTGCTTGTGGCAGACAAAGGACCTGTGGTGCCTCTACTTGCTGTTTGCACTAAAATAAATGTGTCTTCGGGTTCTGAAAGCTTCTTCCCTGCAGATCTTCAACTTGTCACTGTCTTCCGGCTAAATATCTTTCAAAGACCAGTTAGAAAAAATGCAAGGATGCCAAGCAGGAAGAAACGATGGCAACTGTGGTTAATTAAAACTGTGGAAATAACAAAAGCTGGAAAACAAAAACTAGGAGTTGAATAATCACTAAATTAAATTCACAGAAAAGCAAAATGACAACAGTTTGGTCTAAAACATTGGCAATCTGTTTAATAGCAGGATGCAAGTCGAAATTTTTGTTGACAAATATTAAAGGAAAAGTTAAGAATGGGAAACTTCAGATCGAGCAGAGCTAAGTTTTGAGCAGTGAGAAATCATATATACGTTGCATCACTGTATCCGGCATTAAGGCACACTAAATACACATATATACACACAAGGTGTGCGTATGTATCAGATCTGTGATGCATAGGCCACAGCGTGAAATCAAAACTTTCATTTTTAATAGAGTTTCTGATGCAGAACAGACACTGCATGAAACAATAAGAGAAACGATTCTAAGTGTGGGGTTCTAAAAAATAGAGAAACCTTTTTATATTTTTATTTTTAAAAAGTTTAATCATATTGTCAGGCATGGTGGCACATGTGTATAATCCCAGCACTCAGGAGGCTGAGACAGGAGGATCACTGCAAGTTCATTTCATGGCCAGGCTGAACTAGTGAGACCCTTTCTCCAAAACAAATAAACAAGCAAAAATAACAACAACAACAAAAAATCATATGACAAGACATTATAATACTTTTATGGAGAGTTGTTCATTGACATACATAACTAAAACATAATTTTTGAAATATTTATTTGAAATGTAAAAGTAGCTTAAAGACACAAGATAGTAGGAATATTGTTATTCTAGATTAATTTTGCATGTCTTCTTTTCTATATTTATGGTTCCTATATCTTTGAATTAATATTAAAAGGGTGCAAAGACCAAAACATTGTCTCCTAGTAATATTCTCATGTTCTTTGACTGACGGCAAGTGCAGAGCAGGGACTGATGTTTGCAAACCTAGACAAGTGCCTCCCAAACCAAAATGTGCGCAGAAATTGTGTGTGATCTTCTGAAAGGCAGATTCTGGCTCAGTGGAGGAAGGAGGCCAGGAATCTGCATTCCAAAGTCCTCTGCCGGGAATGCTCCTCCACCCCAGACCCGTCAGTAGGTAGGAAGATCTTAGGGCAGTTCGCAGGGTGTTTAGATAACTACTTTGATTTTCAGTCTTTGGCTTTTTTGTGAATGAAATCAATAAAAGAATGGAATCCAATGAAAAAGGACAAAAAGGAGAAAGACTTTTAAAATTGCTCGTAATTTTATTTGATGTTTGAAGAAATGTGTGTGAATCTTTTTACAAGCTTCACAGTGCTGGATTGCTTGTGTGCCAACACACTCCTGCTCTTTTAAAATCTGTATATAGTGTCACATAATTTCAATTTTGCAAAATTTTAATAGACTTTGCCTTATTCTTTACTGATACTTTTATCATTGCCTACAAAGGCTTAGATTTTTAAAAAATGTA